TAGTTAGCCATTTGCACCAACATCTGACTTCATAGGCATTATGGCTATTTAGTGGAAGTTCTCCAGGCACTGGCATTCTGATGGCTGACGTTCTTAGTTAAGATCATTGCTACATTAGTTCTGTTTTGTTTTTGTTATTGATGTATTCATCAGTACTTTAGTGAGAAATTGGAAGAGGCTATAATGAAAGACTGCTGTCCAGGTGTTACAATAGATCATTAGTCTAAAGAAAAATAAACTGTACTTGGAAAATTATACTAAGGTAGTATTAGTGGTTTTGCCATTAACAGTGTGCCGTTATTAGTCACATTGGTTTTCCATCCAGATTTTTTTTTAGCAAAATTAAAAAGACTTTATTGCAGAATACAAAATAGTTGTATTTAAGACGTGTGTGGATGCATGGCAATACTTCACAAATAACTGATTTTATTTTGTAGGTTGTACCTAAGCACTTGTCTTCCAAGTGTTTTGTTCATAGTATTTTTTTTAACATCTTTATTGGAGTATAATTGTTTTACAATGGTATGTTAGTTTCTGCTTTATAACAAAGTGAATCAGTTATACATACACAAATATCCCCATATCTCTTCCCTCTTGCATCTCCCTCTGTCCCACCCTCCCTATCCCACCCCTCTAGGTGGTCACAAAGCACCAAGCTGATCTCCCTGTGCTATGTGGCTGCTTCCCACTAGCTATCGGTTTTACATTTGGTAGTAGATATATGTCCATGCCACTCTCTCACTTTGTCCCAGCTTACCCTTCCCCCTCCCTGTGTCCTCAAGTCCATTCTCTAGTAGGTCTGTGTCTTTATTCCCGTCCTGCCCCTAGGTTCTTCATGACCATTTTTTCCCCTTAGATTCCATATATATGTTAGCATACGGTATTTGTTTTTCTCTTTCTGACTTACTTCACTCTGTATGACAGACTCTAGGTCTATCCACCTCACTACAAATAACTCAATTTTGTTTCATTTTATGGCTGAGTAATATTCCATTGTATATATGTGCCACATCTTCTTTATCCATTCATCTGTCGATGGACACTTAGGTTACTTCCATGTCCTGGCTATTGTAAACAGAGCTGCAATGAACATTGTGGTACATGACTCTTTTTGAATTAATGGTTTTTTCTCAGTGTATATGCCCAGTAGTGGGATTGCTGGGCCATATGGTAGTTCTACTTTTAGTTTTTTAAGGAACCTCCATACTGTTTTCCATAGTGGCTGTATCAATTTACATTCCCACCAACAGTGCAAGGGGGTTCCCTTTTCACCACACTCTCTCCAGCATTTATTGCACAGTAATCAAGACAGTATGGTACTGGCACAAAAACAGAAATATAGATCAATGGAACAGGATAGAATGCCCAGAGATAAACCCACCCACATATGGTCACATTATTTTTGATAAAGGAGGCAAGAATATACAATGGAGAGAAGACAGCCTCTTCAATAAATGGTGCTGGAAACCTGGACAGCTACATGTAAAAGAATGAAATTAGAACACTCCCTAACACCATACACAAAAATAAACTCAAAATGGATTAAAGACCTAAAGGTAAGGCCAGACACCATCAAACTCTTAGAGGAAAACATAGGCAGAACACTCTATGACATAAATCACAGCAAGATCCTTTTTGACCCACCTCCTAGACAAATGGAAATAAAAACAAAAATTAACAAATGGGACCTAATGAAACTTAAAAGCTTTTGCACAGCAAAGGAAACCATAAACAGGATGAAAAGACAACCCTCAGAATGGGAGAAAATATTTGCAAATGAAGAAACTGGAAAAGGATTAATCTCCAAAATTTACAAGCAGCTCATGCAGCTCAATATTTAAAAAACAAACAACCCCATCCAAAAGTGGGCAGAAGACCTAAATACACATTTCTACAAAGAAGGTATACAGATTGCCAACAAACACATGAAAGGATGCTCAACATCATTAATCATTAGAGAAATGCAAATCAAAACTACAATGAGATATTACCTCACACCAGTCAGAATGGCCATCATCAAAAAATCTACAGATTTTTTTTTATTGGAGTATAGTTGCTTTACAATGTTGTGTTAGTTTCTGCTGTACAACAAAGTGAATCACCTATAATCACTTGGCTCTAATCTATTCGGAATTAATTTCTAGGAGTTGGTCTATTTCCAGGATGGCTCTGTTACTTATTCAATATTAAGAGTTTTCCTTTAAGTTTCTGGTTACTCAGAGCTTTTCTATACCTCATTCTGTATAAGGCTACTGCTAATTCTGGACTACCAGATTCAGATACCTCTCCTAGCTTTTATACTTTGCCTTTCAAGAAGCTTCTAAGAAAAATAAGCAGTAATTCAGCTATGGGTATTTCCACTGTTTGTGTCAGGCCATTTTACTTACTGAACTATCTATTAGGTTTTAGGTACTGTAGACAATGAATAAGGTGAAGATTTCTTGCCTGCCCTCAATGAATTATAAGCTCCAACTTACCACTCCAACTCAAAAGTGGTTGTCTTATGCACACTGCTTGATGAAAGTACATTATATTTAGGAAAACACTACTCATATTCAGTAGTGCTACAGGTAAGAATAAACTACCTGGGGTCTTTTTGAAGATATGGAGTGGGATGCTGAAAGGACATTTGAGTAAATAAGGAAATATGGTCAAAAGTAGAGAGTAGGAATATCAAGGTATCTATTATCGCATTCCATAGTTGTACCCAAATAATTTTAAGATTTATTTTTCTTTTTTGTATCTTTGACCTATATGTTAACTATTATAGAATGCAAATTTGATGGTGATTTTTACAACTATAATATTCTCTCTGTTTAGAATAGCATGTTGGTTAAACTTTAGACACATCTGAGCTCAATTCTAAGTTCTAATGTTTTCCTGAGCAAATTGTTTTGTCTCTCCAAATCTTAGTTTTGTTATTTTAAAGTAAGGATAATAATATTATTTCCCTCATTGAGAAGAATAACAGAGATATTACATATAACTGTTTATTTTTATGTACAAAATGACATCTGTTGACAGATAAGATTCCAAGGGGGCGGGACTAAAGAATGCTTTCCAGAACTAGGGTAAGGAACAGATCCTGTGCAGAGAAGTCACATCAGGGTGCTCATGTGAAAGACAGAGAGCTATAGCAACAAGTTCAAATGGAGAATTTTATAGAACAATTTCCATAGAAATAACGTTTCTATGGAAATCAAAGAGTCTTTTTCAAGACTATATCTCAATAAGACCTCCAATAGAAAAAAAAAAGAGAAACAAAGCATTATTTCAAGGAGAAGACATTTCACACGAAAAGGAGTGGGGAAGGAAGAACATTAGTACAAAAGAGGGTGAAGACCAACTGGAAAAATTCACTTAGTCACACTGGTTAGGGGTTGTCACTAACTCCTTAGTAAAGAGAAACTGGAGAGGAGACTGGATCTACTGCTGACCCTCTAAAACTCCTCCAGTGTAGCTACATAGAGTAATCTCTACACAATCATAGAATCGGTACACAGAGACCACATACTCCCCAAATCTCAAGAGAAGAAAGAAGTTTGTGTACTTCAGAAACTGGATAGAACTGTGAAAAATATAAAATTGGCTATAAACATTGAAATTGTGAAACACAAGTCACAATCCTGTGTATTCACACACATTTTTTCATGAAAGTATAAACAAAGGAAATGAATAAGCATTTGAAGATTTTGGACAAGAGTATCTAAAGCAAGAGAGAGGCAAATGAAGTCTCACACCAGGCTTCTATGATTTCTGGATTTCATTGGGCAGTACCACACCACACTCCAGCATCTCTCTCCTCCACCACTGCCGAATTAGGAACTGACACAAGGTTGCCAAGTTCTCGTTTTACTTGTACTGACATTTAAAGATAACTACAAATCACCACTTACGACCTCATTCATTTTCACAAAAGAATGAACTGATAGAAAAAACATAGTATGGATGTGAACTCAGGGAGGAAATGCATTATAAAAAATTCACTACATTGTTCTTATTTTCCTCATTTTGGTGAGTCCACTTCTCTGTGGACTGGAATTAGTTCGTGGGCCAGGATTTCAACCTCACTGCCCCGGTGCACTCTTCTGTTCCAGCATCATGATGATAAAGACATTATACCACCAACTAAAACATTTTACTCCTTGGCAAATGCATATGAGGTGCTTGTTACACAATGTGGGACGTCAGTCTCAACAAATCCCTTATTGGTTTTAACAAACCTTAACCTTTACACTTTGACTTACAAATCAGCATTGACCCTCCCTGGTTCTTAGAGTCAAGATACCCTTTGGATGTGCTACAAATAAAACTAACCAAACCCTTTGTTTAAAACCCATATTATGTTGCTTACAACACTGAATTACAAGTTTTGTTTGCTTGACGATCTCCCTAACTAGACACTAAACCCCTCGAGGGCAGGATCTAGTTTTTCTCTTCTTGATACCCTTACAAGTATAGCGATGTTTGGCACGTTGTGAATCCTTGTAAGTATTTGTTGAATAACTGAGTGAATGGCTCTGCTTAGGTTATGTCTCCTGAAACATCATAATTATACATAGCAAATCCTTGCTACTATTTTATAGTATTTTGATGGAAGTAGGAACTGGCTCTGTCCTTCAACATTCACTCATTCATTCTTCAGACACATTACATGCAACCCTTGCTATGTGCCTTACACTGTGCTAACTGCTAATCAAAATGACCAGAATGTAGTTCTTGCCTTCAAAGATGTCAAGAAGAGTGCTTTCTGGAGCTCACGTTATCTTTTAAGCACAGTACCAATTTCCTGAATGATATAAATATAAATAAATTGTCTGAAATCTTAATAGAGTGAACATTTACCCTCATATGTTTTTCTTACCACTCTAGGAAGCAATACCCACTTTATGTAAGAGTCCTCCTCTCTAACAGATTACAGCCACTATCCCCATGACACAGTTTACTTCAATTGGAGCCTTAGCCATAGCCACTTTAAATGAAATAATAAATCTGCTTACTATTGCAAGTCTTGTTGTATTTGCTGTCCTCCTGTACAAACCCTTCCAGCCGGCACTGAAAACGATGCTGCCAAAATTCTTGAAACCAGGGGTTTCGGAGGTTTGTTTCCGGCCGGAGCTTCAGATAATAATCATCAAACCACTTGACATCAGGGGATTGGAGCTTGATTGTGATTCCACCAACAGCTTCTCGCTGATATCCATCTGTCACATCGTATCTGTCAGCCCAGCCATCACTGTGGGGAAACAAAAAAACCCTCAGCTTAGAACAGATATCTTCTAAGAAAATTATTCTACTTGCTGTCATCTTGAAAACATTAGTCATTAAATGGCACTCAGGCCACACTATGGTCTTACATTATACTACGTGATTCTTGAGATAGCAACTTTCTAGGATAAAAAGTGCAAAACACAATGGAAACTTTGGGTCTAAGAATGCTGGAAGGTACCTGTCTCACTTACCTTGAACTGCAGAGAATAACCTAATGCTTTTGACAGAATTTTACTGGTTGTAGAATATAGTATATGCATGGAAGCTGCATAATATCACCATTCACACTATTTACTGAATGTTTAATAGCTAGGTCAAGTTAACTTTAAATACATTCTTTTCCTTTACTTAATAATAATCATTATAGTTATCATAAAGTAAAAATGAAAAATATTTCTAAAATATACCTTATGTTAATTTAACCGTCCTATGACAGGATATTCACTTGTTTCCATGTTTACAAGTGATGATAATATAGAGGTTAAAAAAGAAAAACTTTCTGATTATGGTCATTCTATTAAATATTGATTCATCAGAGCCTCAAACTGAAGTCCTTATAGTCCATATTCCTCTTTCCTATCCCATGGTACTTCTCTAACACATTTAAAGTACGCATATGAAATCATGTTTTACATTAGAGATTGAAAGAACTTCTTAGCAATAGGCCATCAAAGATGGTGACAGGGATCATACTCCTCAATATTAATATCATTCTATGCACTGATCACTCAAAGTAATGTAGGAATTTTAAAATAAAAGAGTTTGAAATCAGAGAGTTCCTGAGTATAACAGAATAAGGAAAAATATTCTAAGCTTATTTGGAAAATACATGAGACACAACATTGGAAATAAAAGACAAGAAAGGGTGTTTATATCAAATCTGGACACACCTTAGGTCATTTAGGAAAAAAGTGTCTCTGACTTTCCCCACCCTCTCTGTCATTTGGAATATGCAACTTGTGCTATGCATCTGCTGGGACCCAGTGGTACTATCCTTCCTTTGAAGAGGTGCAAGTGCTCTTTCAGGAGAAGTAAAGAAAGTCAGGGGAAATGTAACAATGGAAAAAAAAAGTAACAACGAAGAGGGAGGAGAAGATACGGAGACAGTTGAAGGGAAGAACAGAATGGAGCCTCCTGAACACAAGGCAGGAAGGGTTTTGGAGATTAGCTGGGTGAAAGGGAGTGGGTACTGGGGAAAGTGTGAGCGAAAGGATTTACATTAACAATCATTGTTTATTTCATTAATGTTCAGATATTTCTATTTATTGGAATGTTAATTTCTTTTTTCTTTAATTTCTTTTTATCTTCCTTCCAATGCATTTTTGTCCTTTATACTTTTTTTGGGGGGGGAGGCAGAGAGCATGCTCCAATATTTTGCATAAATCTGGGCCAGGGAAAGTATTATGTAAGGAATTAACTAGAATAAGTAAAAAAAAAGCATGTACTTTCTTCAGTATGCTCTGACTTAAAAATTGATAATGAGAGTTGTTGCAAAGGTCATATATTATTCATTAAGATATCATAGGGGCTTGAGATATTCCTAAGGCATCCGTGGGTGGAGGAGGAGAATAAAATAAACAAACGAAAAAAATAAACCATTTCTTCCTCCAAGTCCTCCTTGACAAGAAGAGATTTCATTGAAAATGATCTATGTTGAAATTTCAAAAACTTTTGTGGCAAATCAGGAAAAAAAAAAACAAAACTAATGCAATACGTTTTGTCCCAATGTTGAATGTGGTTACTTCACACATTATCTTCCCTGAAGTTTCTCATTTCAGCTGCACAGATTTTATTTAAAGCTGACAAGTTGAAATGAAGTGGGCTTGTTTGCTTCATTTTCTTGCTCTGTTTTGGAGGGTTTATTATATCACTGATAGGAGAGTGTGGGTCTCATTGGCACTCGAGGAGATGCATGGGCGTGCTGCAAATGGGACCGGAAACCTGTTTGTCAAGCAGAGCCCCGTTCTCCAAGGAAGTGGGAATTTAAATTGCTCCTTTTATTCATGCGAGCTTGCTCTTATGTAACGCTGTGATTATGAATATTACATAAGAAATGTAAGATCATAATGGGTCCAATTTACCCTTCACAATTCATTCACTGAATTTAATGGGGATTGTAAAAAACCTGTCTTGATAAACTTTTTTGGAGGTGATATTTCCATTAAAAAAAAAATGTCAGGACCGTAGTGTGTTAATTTACTCATCTCTCATCATGTTCTTTAGCTTTTTTTTTTCCATGTATAAATCTCTACATTTAATTTAGCAAAAGATGGTGTTTTTTTAGTAGTCTATAGGTTAGAGTGGTGATTTTTAAAACAGTTTTGTTCCAGATAGTTCCATTCAACAGCAAAATAAAAACCATGAAAGAGTTCGTATATAAACGGAAAATTCTAGTGTCTGTGTGGCAAAAAATGGTTATTCTATTTAAGCTTATGGGGGAATATCTGCTGTGTAAGTCTCAAGAAAGTTCAATCCATATTGGCTAAGTTAGATGGTGCTATATTGACTTTAGCTTATTAAATATTAACATTTTCATAAAAATGTGCTTTTAAGATTTGCATTAAGATGATAGCGTATGTCTAAGTAAGGAATAATAAATTCATAAGGAAAACTTGAGCTTACCTTTCTACTATCCAATGCTTTCCATTGCATTGTTAGAATGGACTATCAAGATTCTGGCACTACTTTAATGCTTTTGGGTGACATATATTTTACCAAATCAGGAAAAAGGGGGAAGGAAGATAAGGAAAGAAACTGAAAATGTACCACATTTCAGTCAAGTTTCTAGATTTAGTATCTATCTATCTATCTATCTATCTCTCTCTTCATCCATCCATCCATCCATCCATCCATCCATCCATCCATCCATCCATCCAATTTCTTCTCATTGATGGGCGTTTTACCCATCTCCTTATAATCCATTTCGTTATTTTCTTTCCAATGCTTTGATTTACAGTCATTTCCCATTATTTGCAGAATCTGTATTTGTAACTTCACCTGCTTGCTAAAATTTATTTGCAACCCCCATACTGATACTCATGGCACTTTTATGGTCATTTTCAGATATACAGAGAGTGGCAAAAAAGTTGATTCTTCTGATGTGCATATACCCGGCTGAGGCTGAACAAGGTGAACTTCTGCTTTCTTGTTTCAGCTTTGATACTATAAAGAAGTGCCCTTTTCATGGTCTATTAAGTGCCAAGTTTTTGCATTTTTGTGTGTTTTTTTAAATTGGTTTTGCTGTTTAAAATATCCCCAAGTATCGTACTGATACATTATTTAGAGTTCCCAAGTGCAAGAAGGCTGTGCTATACCTTACATAGACAACCAGTTGCCCCTGGTGGTCCAGTGGTTAGGACTCCGTGCTCCCAATGCAGGGGGCACAGGTTCGATCCCTGGTCAGGGAACAAGATCCGGTATGCCGCAGCTAAGATCCCGCATGTGGGAACGAAGATCCCGCGTGCTGCAGCTAAGGCCCGGTGCAGCTAAATAAATAAATATATATTTTTAAATGTAGGTTGATAATACATATACTCTTAAAAAGTTAAAAAAAAAAAAGGCAGCTGCATTTAGGCATAAGTAAAGTGCTGTTTTCTGTGAATTCAATATTAATTCATCAACAGTATTAGATATTAAATATTAAATAAAGTGTCTTTAGACCAGAACACCATAAAGCAAGGTTATGTAATGACTAGTTGATGAAAATGTGACTAGAGGCTCACGACAATTTAAACTTATATTTCCCCTAGGAGTAATGGTCAGTATTCACTAATTCAGTGTTTGGTGCCTGTTTATAGGACATACCTACTGTGAATAACAATAATTGAGTGGATATCTATATATATATATCCACTTAATTATATATATATATATATATATATATATATATATATATATATGGGAGAGGAGGAGAGACATGTAAATAAATGACCACATACGAACGAATATTTTTATAGGTATGAAATGAACGCAACGAGAGAGAAGATCAGTAAATAATTGACCAGCTCTTCGTAGAAAGGTAAGATTTGAATTGAGTTTGGAAAATATGGGTAATGGAGTGATAACTGTATTTTGAAATGTTATTTTTTAGACAACAAGTAGGTATTTGTTTATTAATTTATTAATTTATTTATTTTTGGCTGTGTTGGGTCTTCGTTTCTGTGCGAGGGCTTTCTCTAGTTGCGGCAAGTGGGGGCCACTCTTCATCACCGTGCGCGGGCCTCTCACTATCACGGCCTCTCTTGTTGCGGAGCACAGGCTCCAGACGCGCAGGCTCAGTAGTTGTGGCACACGGGCCTAGTTGCTCCGCGGCATGTGGGATCTTCCCAGACCAGGGCTCGAACCCGTGTCCCCTGCATTGGCAGGCGGATTCTCAACCACTGCGCCACCAGAGAAGCCCAACAAGTAGGTACTTGTGAATCAGGGAGTAGTAAATATTAAGCATTGCAGCTATATGGAGTGCACCATATAGTGACTAATGAAAAGTAAGCTGAGGAAGACCAATTATGAATGGTCTTCTGGGCCATTTCAAACGTTTTGAGTTTTATCATTCAGGTGAAGGGGAGCCAGTGGTGGCTTTTAAAGTGGGAAGTGCTACGAAGAGACGATGAGAACTGGATAAACTGTGGTAGCAGTGCGAGTGACAGATAAGAAAGGTTGTGGATGAATGTTAGAGGATCAAGTTAGAAAAGTTGTTACAGTGGTTAAGGGATCTAATGGATGTTTGTATTAAAGGAGTGGGAATGAAGAGCCTATTTGTAAGGAATTCTCAGAGTCCCTAGGACTAGATACATGGAGAATAGTGGGTAAAGGAGGATGTTTTTGGTTTATGGGAGACATTAGTGATATTGTAAGTGATATTGTAAGTGACATTGTAGCTCCATGTCCTAGGTTGTAAAATACAGGAAAATAGGTTTGGGGTGAAAAAGGAAGAAAATGAATACAAGTAGGGATCTACAATGATCAGATTTCCCTTTATATGCTCTCTAGCACTTTGTTTCTCCTGGATTTCTGTCTGTTCTCTACGTAAAAAATTAATTTGAGTGTTAAAAAAAAATACAAGTGAACAATTTTCTTACGTGGTCCAGTACCATATTAACCCACCCTATTCTATTATGTTTAGGGTTTTGTATGCTGAGCAATAGCTGTTGGCACTCAAAAAAAAAAAGACAGAAATAATGAAAATTATAGAGCTCTAAAGATCTGATGCTCTCTATACAATTATATCCTTATAAACATTTTAACTTTAGAATTATTATTTTTATTATTTTTGTATTAACATAGATATTTGAAGCAGACCAATGGTTATGGTTATAATATGATTACTGTAGGGTTTACAATCGGTAGATTTAATGTCAGAATATATTTCTGGAACGTAGAAGCCCCTAAAGATACATGGTAACGGGCATAAAAAATTCTTGGAAAATTCTGAAGAAAAAGTTTAGTAATTATCAAATGTTAGAATAGAGATGCTCAGTAATTTAAAATTTTGTCTCTGTTATCAAAATCTAAATCTGTACAATGCAGACAATATACTCTTTCCTTCCTGTCCTCGTTTTAAGTTATTGCTATGGAAAATGAAAAAATTTATGTTGCACAGAAAGTTGCATCGGGTGATCCTCTGTAACAGTCTCCATGTTCTTTTCATTCTAATGAATTAATACAGTAAGCATTTTGAATGCATATTCTGTGCAGGCAAACTGCACAGGCATTGTGGTAGGTCCCAGCACATGTCCTCAGCAGTCCATTAGGTATGACCTGCCTGAATGCGCATTGCTGACTTCCAGCCCCCTGGAAGTTTCTTCATTTATTCCCCAGACTGAACATCCTCTTTTCTTTTTATTCAGTCTTCCCCTTAATAGTACAATTCATTAGGTTCCCAGTCACTGAATCATCACTTGTGAAAATCACAATCCTGTCCTGCCTTCCTGAGATTATTCCCCCATCCCCTCAATTAGTATCCTGGGTGTTTCCACACTCTTAGTTCTTACATTTACAGTCCCTTGATTTATTTACATGGAATGCTAATCACATACAGTGGGTATGGGTTTCATTAGCTGAATTCTCAGATGGCAACATGATTACTTAGCATAACTCTGCAGAGTTCTTGGGGAGGCGTCTGCTGGGGGCAAACAACATAAATAAATCATCTCAGTCTGCTTCAAAAGGAGCAATACCAGACCAAAAATGTAGACATCAGAATGACTATTCCTAGCAGTTAGCAGTCGTTAAATTTGTGTCAGGAGGTGTGAGTTTATGCATTGAGGAGGTACGGGCGGGGGACGTGGGTATGCCAGGCACATACAATTATTCTTGATCACTGAAATCTTTAGTCCCACTTAGCGTGATGGTATTGGTACTGCTAAGACTATCACACATATGTTGTGTACTGGAGATGCTGCACTCGATTCTCATTCCTCAAATACATGACATTTATTTCTTATTCACTGAACAAGTATTGGGTAACTAATAACTTGATAGTTATGTGGGAGTAGAGTGGTGAACAAGAAGACAAGATTTCTGCTCTCATAGAGGTAACATTTTGATGCTTTTAGTTTTGCATTTGTCATCATATTAAAGTTAAGTACATTTATTTGTTTTCCCTAAATTGTCTGTAAATTTTATGTTTTGGACATCTCATCCTTATGTTTATTATAATGCCTTGAACATACTAAGGACTTAAATGTTTAATATAACTTATTAGAAAATTAGACTTTAAAGGGCAAATTTCAAATCTTAGAGAATTCTTTTCTGATAGCTGCATATATTCTTTTTTTTAAATTTATTTTTGGGCTGTGTTGGGTTTTTGTTGCTGCACACAGGCTTTCTCTCATTGCGGCAAGCAGGGGCTACTCTTCTTTGCCATGCGCGGGCTACTCACTGCGGTGGCTTCTCTTGTTGCGGCACGTGGGCTCAGTAATTGTGGTGCACGGGCTTAGTTGCTCCGTGGCCTGTGGGATCTTCCCGGACCAGGGCTCGAACCCGTGTCCCCTGCATTGGCAAGCGGATTCTTAACCACTGCGCCACCAGGGAAGTCCCAACTGCATATATTCATTTTTAATTGAGAAAGCAGCACTGTTTGATGTGCCTTATAAAATGACTCTGAAAGGCTGAATTCATTCCCCCCTCCAAAATGGTCCTCTCCCTTCTCTACCTGATGCTATTAAGTTTAATGAATACATTCATTAGGCTGCATCCCAGCATTTTTTTTTTCAAAATATGTTCACAACCCACACAATTATTATTGAAACTGCTGTTCTACTCACATGTAATCATAATCATCACCCTGCCAAATCTCTTACCAGTAGCATTCTAACAGGTATTTTGGGATTTTTTTTTCCTAATAGTGGGAGTCTGTCTACTGACTGCTTGGCTGTCTTCATATAATATTCCTTTTTTTTCCTCCCCTGGGGGAGTAGAAGGGCTTAGAATCTCTAAAAAAATAGTGAAAACAAAGAAGAATATTGAGCTTTTAAATAAAAGTTCTTATGAATGTCCACCAGTCAACACTAATGAATTAATTCCAAAATGAAATACAACGTAGAAGTTTTGAGAAAATTGTTAGGTTATTTGCTGAAAATCACTTTATCTCCAGGGCTTGTAAATCTTAAGTTTTCCCATGTCTGAGGATAAGTAGGTGTGAATTGGAGGAGCTATATCAGAACATGGAAAAGAAGGAAGAAAAGTCAGGAATCTAAAGTTTGCTGTCTTGTGTAAGTCAGGTGATTTCTATTATATTGCTTTCCTGATTCTCTACAGGCCTTAGAGATGATTATTATTAGCCCTAGTTTCTACCACTGAGGAAATTGAGGCTCTGAGGAATTAAATAACCTACTCAAAATCCCACAGCTAGCATAGAGGGGATTTCAACCCAGATCTTTCCAGCTCCAACACTCCAGTACTTTCCATACTTCATGGAGCCTCCAAAACAATGACATACAGTGATGACAGCAGTGAGAAATGTTTAAGGGGATCTTATTTAAAAGGCGTGTGTTGGAGGACAGGGGGCAGCATGTCGGGCTGGGAGTACGTGGGCAAGATTCTCATGCTCTGGTATATTCTCACCTTACCTACTTTTTAAATCAAACGCTAATCTAGATCAGGACTGCTGGGAAGGGATTTTGAAACTATAATTAAGATCCCAAGGAAACTGACCTTGAAATAGGGAGATAATTCGTAATTGGTCTGACCTAATCAGGTGAGTCCCTGAAAAGTGACCACCTCTTCCTGACAAAAGAGATTCAAATGTGAGAAGGATTTGGCATGAGAGGGCTGGAGGAGACTCTCCATTGCTGGCTTTGAAGATGGAGGGGGCTGTACAGTAAGGAGTGCAGGTGGAGTGGAGGAGCTGAGTGTGCCCTTGGGTGATACCAGCAAGGAAATGGGGACTCAGGCCTACATCTAAAAGGAACTGAATTCCACCAAAACTTGAATGAGCTTGGAAGCAGATTCTTTCACAAAACCTCCAGAAAGGAATACACCTTGATTTCAGCCTGTTTAACCCTGAGTGGAGAACCCAATTATGCTATATACATGGACTCCTGACCTCCAGAAACGAATATTGTTTTAAGTTGCTAAATTTGTGGTAATTTGTTACACAGCAATAGAAAGTTATTATTCACTTGCCACCTCTTTTCTACATTTCCTCACTTGGAAGGCCAAAGCATGTTAATATCAGAAGAGAAATGATATAATCTTAGGGGGTCTGACCTAATTCAGGGTTTGGTCAGAGCAGACAAACTTCCAAAGACTTTGGGATCACAGAAAATAACGGAGAGTATTACACATATTAGAATACTTGGAACGTCCATCCTGTCTCAATTTAGGCTTTAAATTGAGGTAGTCATTTCCCCCTCTGGTTTAAAGTCTTGTCCCTCCAGGGATGCTTCCTTACCAAACACATCCTTCACAGAGAAAGAAGCTGAGAAAAATCATTGTAAATAGATTATTTTTTTAAAATAAATTTATTTATTTATTTTTGGCTGTGTTGGGTCTTCGTTTCTGTGCGAGGGCTTTCTC